TTTACCACCTGTAAAAACTGCCGGCCAGAGTGACGACTGGACCAGTGGTTGAAAGCATTTGTTCATGTTACAGGCCCATTGACCTGCTGTCTTCCGGATTCCAACTCCGCCAAAATACGGCTTTGAACTCAAACATTTATTGCCGAAGCCGCATCCTCAACTGGATCCCCGAGAATCGGATTTCCAAGTTGTTCCGGATTCATGGCGCGGTACGTTCCAAATCGGTTTCGTTTTTCCCTTGTGCAAATTCGTGAAAGAATTTTTTCGTTGTTCAATCTATTCACAGAGTACACGCGAGTATGTGTTGAATTTTATTACTCTGACAAAACATCTGGGAGACAACCCTTTATATTTTGCGCAAACTTCCTGTTTCGTTTCACTGATCTAGTGGTGGCTTCTGAACAAGCAGAAACATGAAAACAGGGTGGACTGAATTCAACCATTTGGATGCAAGGTTGGGGGCGGAATGATCGACACTTAGTTCGAGTGTTCAGTGAAATCGATACAGAGAGTAAAGGTCATCAGCTCCCGGGTCAGATGGGATCAAAGTACCAGAGGTGTAGACGTGTGTAAATGCCAGCCTTATCGAGGTAAGACAAGACTCGTCACACCCTTTCAGAAAGGTTTGAAACAAATCGGTTGGTTCATATTTGCACAATGTCACGCTTAGTACACACGAAATTCGTCAGGCCAAGAGACTAGGTTATCGGGCTGGTCAACTTTAAAGACCAATCAGCAAACTCTCCAAATTACTCCTGTGTACCGGCTGAGGGAGCCCGTTCTTTGGTGTATACAAGGAAGAGTTGAGACCACTGCAGTGTGGAAGGGAAGCTTGCGTGCACTTTGGTTAGATCCGGGATCTGGTTCTCCCGGTTCAGCTCACGGGAATATTTCTCTTGACAGACGTTGATCTGTTTGAGTGGGCTGATGCTAATGGAATTTGGAGGAATTACGTGAGTTCGGGTCGCGTTGACTGACACCCACACACCACCAGGTGTCGACTCGGCTCAACTCAACTCAACTAAACTAAACTAAAGTAGACGAAATTGCCGAAGAAAATCATAAACGATAGATTCAATTGGGTCCCACCTGACTCTCTCATAAAAATCAAATAGGTATGCAAATGAGTGTACTCGTCCTGCATATGCATACCAGTTCCACGCCGTCTATCCTATTCATTCTGGAATGCTTAGCCACTTCCACCGCCTGGGCCATCAGCCGCTCTGGTATGAGTGATAGTCCCCGTGTTCACACACTCGCCCTTTCCATATTTACTCTGTCACATTTTTAGTCTCCGTCTCGGTATTAGTCCTAAAACTCCAAATCAGAACATCAACTGAAGACACGTTCGCCACAACACAAACTAGCTAGATTCTTCGCATAAATTCCAACAGAATACATGGAAGAACTTGTATAAATTTGCTAACAAAGACACAGGATTTGGTATGATTCATAAGAGTGACAGGGAGTGAAAACTGCCATTCGGAAACTAGCATGTATATTTGCGGTCTTAAACTCCTCGTCCACCCATCCCAAATCGGTACACACTCGCGTCACTTCATCAGTATTTAGTCGAGCTATAAAAAATCGTGTGCAGCAAACGTTGACCGCATAGCAGCTCAACTGTAGATGAAACACAGACTTCAGAACAGTGGGTATCCAGTGGAATTGATCTGGTGACAACTGAGAACGATGTTGTCCCGGTACCGGTACCTGGTACCGCTGTCCTTCCTCCAAACAGGTCGAGAACATTTGCGGTTAGTCGGAGGGTTTTAAACGCAGCTACATTAGAATAGTGTTCCAGAAAGGAAGGACTTTGCTTTCAGTACCTGTGTAGCTGAAGTACCGTCTCCCGGTTGGAAATGAGTATACGAAACCCAATTGCAGTGACTTCACCGAAGTTCACGAAGGACAGACTATCAATGAGCTAAACACAGAAATTGGTGAGCACAGGAGAAGAACTACTAAACCTCCAAGAACTACAGATGAATATGAGGAACTAGTCAGGGACTCAGTGATAGCGGGATATTGGCTAGACACAAACCCAGGATTATGGGAGTACACCACAACGGCCAAGACGGTAGAAATCGCTAATAATACCAGCATGAAATAATAGATGTCAAACTGGTGAGCTTAGGGAGAGTGGTTTTAGATAAGCCGAACTGACGCCTAGAGGTGTGTGATTATCAATCAGATAGGATCGTCAACAGATGGGCCAACCCAATCCCTCCCCATTACCCAGGTGCCTTAGCATTAACCCAGACAGACACTGTGAACGAGTGTCAAGGGGAATCTTCACGTGAACTGAACCGAAAGAACCAGACCCTAGATGTGACCCGAATTTATGTAAATTTCCTTCTTCGGTTCTAAAACTTGCTAACAAGCACAGAAGAACAAGCTCCCACGGCGGCATGCATCACTGTCTGGGACTTCCAGTAGGAGGAGATCTCGATGATTAGTTCATATCTTATCCTCAGCCCGATGATCTGATGTAGCCCTTGTCCAGGGAAAAACGTTGCCCAACAATAAATCTGTTGATTTTTCATCAAACTCTTCCGAAACTGCCTTGGTTCTTTGCACATGCCGTAGACCAGCAAGCGGTGATCGACTGGACTGGACGGAATTTCCAAGCATCGAGTGCGAAAGTCTGTCGAAGTCTGTCTGTAAACGAAGCCGAACTTGTCTAGCATTCTGTTCCCATCTGAACGGTAATTTTTGAATGACATCTTTTACGGACATCCTCTTATTTCACTTTCTGTTCGCCAATTTCTCCGTACTTTTGGTAAGCGGGCTAAAAGCTTTCGAAGTGATAATATTTTCCTGTCCAGGTGAGTTCGCTGAATATTGATCTGGCGAGTGGAAGCACGTCATCTGCGCCAGACAGAACGAACAACACTATTAAATTTGACACCTGGCAATATATCGATATACTGAAAGGTAAAGTGTGGTAACTGGTCGTAGATCCTTTGGCTGTCACTCAGTCCACTGAGCTTTGCGATTTGCTCATAGGAGATTGGTCACCAGTGGTTGGGATATCATTAGCTTGTGGTTAGATGGGCACTAACTCTTCGTCCACTTGCGTTCATATAGCCCATGAAAAAGTAGTCGCTATTTCTTCGTGGGACTGACTGATCGGTGCGTTTATGAGGTATTCGGACCACAACGCAGCACATATTGTAAACCGACAAATGACATTCCCCTAGAGCTGTTCCTGAGTCAGCCAATCATATAAAGACTTGACATCTACTCTCTTACAGTCAAAATGAATGCAACAAGGCAAGGAGAAAGTCCCTAACAATAATTCACGAAGGTTGCACATTTGGAACTGATCTCAATAACTAAACTCGTAGTAGTTCTAAGTGGGTTATCATTAGTTCTGAAAAACGCACTTGAGCATAGAAACGTTCGCTGGAGGTGACAATTACGTCGCCATGGATCTACAACATAAATTAACTCCTGCTTAACCCAATTCACTGCAATTCAAATAGAAGGAACCTTGAGGGGGGAACCATTTTAGCGCATGAATTCCATGTATCACAACAGGTGCTGTTAGAAGTCGTTCAACAGAGCGCTTGGACCCAACATGTCGCTGCACCCACCAGATACCGCGCAGGCCAACCACCATCCCTCTTGGATTTGGTCATCACCAACGAAAGACACTTCGTTGATCAAGTAACAATTAACGCTCCACTGGGGCATAGCGACCACTGTGTGCTGACCTTTGATTTCATCTGCTATTGGGCCAGACATCCCAAACCTCAAACGTGGTTTCGAGACTTCTGCCGTGCAGACTTCTCAGGAATGCGCATCTTCCTTGAACTAGCCACACTGAGACCAGCTCCGCTGGAAGAACCATATAGGACCATTGTCCAGATAGTCCACGAGGCGGATGCGACATTCGTCCCAAGAAAACCGGCACGCACTCGGATGAGCCGCAGGCTGCCAAAAAAGATTCGGCGACTTCTGGAAAAAAGATCCCAACTCTTTTTCAAAAAGTTGACCACAGGGGACACAGAAGATGAGCTGGCATTTCGTAAAATGCGGAATCGCTGTAATTCGGAAATCCGCCAATGGAACACACGAAGACAAGCCACCATTCTGGACCTCGCTCGAAAAAACAAAAACGTATTGTTTTAATACACGATACATTGCCGCGGAAACAAGCCATCCGCGTTCTCCTTGAAGGACCGACGAGTGACTAGACAGTGGTATCCGAGGTTTACAGAGCACACTATGCGTGTCTATACCCAGCTCCAGCGTCCTCGTCACATCCACCCTTGTCAAGGTGAAACTACGAACAGCCTCTAACCGACGTGGTCTTCACGGTGGAGGACATTCGTCAACTCTTGGACAAGATCAACCCATTCTGCGCGTTGGGGCCCGAGGAGGTCCATGCAAGGATCCTGAAGGAAACGTGCTCCACACTGGCAAATAATCTACACCTAGTGCTTCGTCAGTCACTTGACGAAGGTCGCCTTCCCCCTGCTTGGAAGGAAGCGATTGTCACGCCAATCTACAAAACTGGTGACCGACTATCGCCTGGCAGCTGTAGGCCTATAAGCCTCACTATCGTGCCGTGCAAGGTGATGGAACGCATTCTGAAGCGAGCTATCATAGATCACTTTACTTCCAGCAACCTGATACCTCCAGGTCAACACGGATTTCTCCCACACCGCCCTTGCTCAACCGAAGCCAAGGACGAAGGATTCATATCGGATGGCATATTTTTCGACTTCTCAAAAGCATTTGATAGGGTCACACACGTCCCGCTGCTCCACAAACTCGAGTCTTACGGGAATCAAGGGAAAATCCTTCGCTGGATCAAGGCGTTCCTGTCGCACAGATCATTCCGAGTGTGAATAGGTTCGACCTACATTTCTCCAGCGCCGGTCTCCATTGGATTTCCTCAAGGCTCCGTCGTGAGAACAGTGCCGCTTCTTATCTACGTCAACGATATTCCAGATGTTATTGCAAGCCCATGTCTACATTTTGCGGACGACATGAAATCCTGGAGTTCAAATGCCAGTGTCCTCGAAGTGGATGTAGATACTGCAAAGCAGCGGTCGTTGGACTGGCACCTTCCTCTGAATTATGAAAAGTGCGTCCATGTGTCGTTTGGAGGGGATTCAGCGAGTGCCTTTTTTATGCATGGTGAAAAGGGACCAGAAAATACCATGATGATAGATGCCATAAAGGATTTGAGTATCTGGGTCTCCTCAAACTTGTCCTTCTCACTACACCATGAGAAATCGGCCCAAAAGGCATTCGCCATTTTACGGATGATCCGACGCACATTCTCCCGTATCACTCGCATGGACTTCCAAATACTCTATGGGGCCTACGTCAGACCACTCCTGGAGTACGCCAACCAAGCTGTCTACTCAGGACGCTCGAGCGACGTCACCCTCATTGAGCGTGTCCAGCGGGCCGCTACGAGAATGGTTGTTGGCCTCAAATCCGTGGACTATGAAACGCGTCTCGCGATGGTTGATCTCTTTCCCCTGGAGTACCATCGTCTCCGAGGGGACCTAATTCTTACTTGTGCCCTGTTTGAACAAAGCTTGGCAAACAGGTTTTTTACTGTTGACCCAGCAAACACCCGGTGGGGA